ATATACAGTTCAACTAAGTTGTGTATATATTTACTACGCACATAAACACACAGACATACACGTATACAGAGAACACAGACACATACCCTATGAAAACCCGTCTTTAAGTTAAACAATCAATCAATGTCTGCAGGAGTTACGACGTGAAAGGTGTCCGAACTTATCTGGAAATCCCACACTCTTACTTATTTATAACCTAAACCTGTGTAGGATTCAATGTTCGTTTGAGGGGTAAAAGAGATATACAGAATCCGGAACTTTTGCCGCCTGGTGCAATCAATTACAGTGCGTGGTTTTCATACTGGCATCATGTACCACAAAGTATCATGATCATTTGTTTCAGAATTGGTCGTAAAATCATCATGTCTTTTTGCCATTTCTTTCTTTTTTCTTTAATCTTTGCTTTTTCCCTTTCGAATTAAAAGGTTTGGTGACTATTCATGGAACTGATGCATATGCATTGTACAGCTTTGGTTATTGTTGATTTTAATCAAAAGACTCCGTCACGGTTCTGGGTATCTTTATGCTTTTATTTGTTGCGCACTCACATTATGTAAATACGCAAACATCGCTCCTACGCGGTACGAGTACTTTATGTGTTCGTCGAGGATACGCGGTTCACAAAATCGGTAATATGCTGATCTTTTAGCACGAACTAAATGGGACGTGTGTGTTTACGTGTGTGTACACAGAGATCGTATGCAGCGTAGATACATCGCACTCTGAACGAACATCCCAAGATACGCTTTGCATTTGTCGTAAATATGAGTCGGTCGACTCAGTGGTGTTTCTTGAATACACTGAATTCGTAATTCATACGCTGAGTTCTTGAAAAAGATAAAAAAAAATTGAAAAAAAGCAGTTTTGTGTGTACTGCAATTTCATAAGGAACTCTCCAGAATTTGACATACGCAAAAATCTGAATGGGACCAAAGACGGCCATCAGAAAGAGGGAGTGGGTGGTTCATGATTATACATCTATCTATTGTTCGACCATGCGGCGCAGGGTTGGGAGTCCCTGCGGCCTTTTGGTAAGGTTAGATTCTGGCGGCACTGTAAGTGTTATACCGCCCTTTATTCTTTCATTTGCTGTACTATATACATGTACTTATTTCTCAGTGGCATGCTTGGCATTTTTCATGAAATAGCATATAATGTATCAGATATATACCAAAAAAACCTGCGTTTAGCGTAGACAATAGAATCGTGATACGGTATAATTTGATATAACCACACCTCACAAAACCAGCTACAGCTAAACCGATACCTCGTTCTTGTGGAAAGGTTTGCAGCGTAGTATAACATGCTGCACTGCAGTGTTTTACCTAGGTCTTAAAATATAGTATAGAACGAAGGTACACAAAATAGCAGATCATTATTGGTAATTTTCAGCAAACATGTGAAAGAATGAATTAAAACGTACCTTGCATCGAATTTTAATTCCAGAAAAAAAAACGTCTCATCGACGTCTTTAAGGTATACTATAGAACAAAGGTACACAAAATAACCGATCATTATTGGTAAACTTCATCAAACATATAAAAGAAAGAATAAAAACACACCTTGTATCGAGAGTGTCCTCTGCTATGGAAGGAAATCAGCATTTATTTTTAAAAAATCATAATAAACAGTTATACAAATGTTTTGCAGAAGTTTTAGTAATTTGAACAAGCGCACCAAGCAATTAAAAATATGAATCAAAAACGCTGTCCATAAAATATTGTACCAATGACTTCAACGATAGGGAAGAACCCAATGTCTTTTGCATGTGGCTTTAAAAACGGTAGGCCTATATATACCTTTATAATCCCATACTCCTTCAGTTAAGTCATTATTTGGAATTGATTTATTTCAAAGAATTCTTGTTTGATATTTGCCCAGTTGGGATAATTTCGTGCACGGGCATGTTAATTGGGATTAATTCAACCTGCAATAATATATATATATATATATATATATATATATATATATATATATATATATATATATATATATATATATATATATAAAGTACTTGATAGATGGGATGTTGCTGTATCAGTTAATTGAAATCGCTATGTCGTGTCAGTCAAGTACGAAATACACGTGCAAATTAAGTCAAACATGAGTGTCTTGTCATGATGACACACGAGTCTTTTCAGTGCATCCGTCGCAGGGCTAAACAAAGTAATTTCCTCTGGACGATCAAATTGCCTACTTCGAAAAATAAAAAAGGAAATGTTAACGACCGCAGCCGGAGGCTTTTAAATGACGAGCCAAACCAAAGCCTCCAATAAAACCGACCTATTCCCATAAGACCAGTGTTATCGGATGGATAAATTGAGGGAAATTCCAGACGAACTCAAGCTATAAACGGATACGTAATCGTTGGTATATTGAGACATTACCAGAGCAAAAAGGTCGTCAAAGGTTCAATAAATACATCACCGTTTATCTACATGGAGCCTCAATGGTGTGGAACAATGTTTTGGATGCAAGTATGGATTAAAAAGACCCTGAACATCGGCCATGGGGCATACTCAAGAGTTGGCTGCCAAATATGGGAGTTTCAAATTACAATGTTACGGTGTAATTAAATGACATAGATGAATAATTAGCTCTTTTTTTCATGCCAGCAGAATGAAATATATATAAATATTTACTAACTGATTGCACTTTCTTAAAACTGTCATTCTCAATTTTGCCAAATTAGCCATTTTAAAAATAGCCGTTCTATTTATTTGTGTTTTTTCTCAGTCTGTGTACTTGTCTGTGTACTTGTACATTGTCAGCATTGCTTAATTCTGTATTGATCGATTTAGAATAGGTTGTTATAGACGTGAAGAGGGAATTGCCTATGAAATACAACCCAGGCTATGAATTGTTTATATAACAAATTGATCTTTAACAAGAAGGCTCCTACTGCCGTTACAAGTACCTGCTAAATACACTGTACGGAGTGCTTAATTGGTTAAAATAAGTTTGGAACGTCTTTGACTTCAACCTCATGCATGTTAATGTGACACCAACACTTACATTTAAACTGATTTGAATCGCGGTGACATGCTTACCAGTACCTTGGGGTCCTTAGAGAGAGATAGAGAGATTTAAGGCAACTTTTTGAATAAAGTGATATCATTGGAAGCAAGCATCTAGCATAGTGTATGGATACAACACAGTTTTCAATTGTGAACCAAAGAGGATGCGCGTGCACATGTGCCTCTCTCCCCATTTTGTACGAGTAGCTGCTAGAATTAATTCATACGAATAGACAGGGTTTTTGAAAAACACAATACATTCCATCCGCGAAGGTGTCTTTTGGATATTGGTATATGGCGTAGGATGTCTCTATATATATCGTTTTACTTTACTTCTGATGGTTGGTTTAAAAACCACACACAGCTTTAAGTTGTGGTATCGTGTTTCTTGGCAATGATTGGAGTTAATTAGAAACGCTAATATATGTATTCCTCGCGATTATAGGCACTGCTTCGTGATACAATTAAAATTGCACATAGAATCCTTTGCTTATGGCACTGATGCTGATCAACAGAATTAAATATACGAAACTGAGATTTCTAAACACGGTTTTACATGCGCTTTCTAGTGTCTCTTAACTGTTTGTCAAGTGAATATAATCTAGCTATTATGAGCCTAAGAATAACCAGTCTAATGCATGTTTTAAAACTTGTTTCTGACATATATACCACAGAAATACATTTAAGGAGGAAACATGTAGAAGCAAAACAAATAAAAAAAGGAAAAAGGAAAACTATTCCGGGGCCTACAGTAGTAAGTGATCGGTCTTATAAGGAGATGGGGAACCACTCGCCATGCTTTTTCAACTGTTTCTCTATGTTTAGTACCCCTGTCATTAATTTTAAATTCTTTTCCATATGAATTCACCTAGCAATTAACCAAACCACCCATTAAACATAACATCCACCTAGTCACCAACAGAACTAAACATCCTCTTTTCCATCCTTTCTAAACATATCTGCTTATAAATCAAATGAGCCAAAGTCTTTTCTGTATATCTGCCTATCAGCTTGGGTTACACAAAAGAATGCTACGGGTTCTGACTATTACCCCTTAGTACACAGCATAGGTGAACCGAAGTTGACACAAAGTAACTCGCAAACCAGCAATCCGTCAATGTATCAACAGATGGAGTGTCACATGTAATTTAGATGCTACACCCAGCATAGAGCTCCCACGTTTACCAGGAACGACTGGCTGTCGCGGTCTTATGCAAGGCGCACGTTACATAACAATCAACGATATACAAGATGCTGAGCTTTGCTGGCCTTATGTTACATATAACTAGACATTGTGATAATGGCACTTTGGCAAGTACCAGTAATAGGTTTACATACACACACACAGACACTATATACATGACAATGGTTGATTATACTAGATCACGTACATCACGGACCAAATGCAATTTATTTATATATGCCCACTAGTTAAGACATCACAGGTTGACCCATAAGATAAAACATCAAATTCGACAGTTGGTGCTTTGAGTTGAAATAATAATAATGTAATGGTTTACTATTTATGTGTATTTGCACGTGCTCATTGATGTCAAACAAAATATATAATAGACAGTAATACATAACACGCTACAAATATACATCTTACAATGGGTAACGACGCACACGGCGTCCCACATACAATATTAAAAAATAAACACGTGTCACTCCAAACTATGTACGTTGACAAAAAATGCAACTCAGATGTGTTTTCTACTAATAACTGCCAAATAAAATACAATTAATTCAATCTATTTTTCAAAAGGGGCACAAAAAATTATACGTCTAAAAGTTTAAAAGACAAGTCTGAGAGATAAGATGGCTAAGAATTCGAAGGTACAACTTTTATTGTAATTGTTATTGTATAACTAGCTATTTACACGCACGACAGCTTTTTGCCCTGCGTAAAATCACCCTTGTTTGTGTGGTTTATAATGCAAATCGGACTTGAGGGTCTAATCCAACTCTTATGGGGGTGCAAAATTAACCTACGAGTAAAGCGATAGCAATAAACCTACCGCCATTGTCGATCCCCAGAAATTCCTGCAAAATACCGTCCAGACCATCTTTGATCCTTTTGTATTCCACGGGCTCGCTGTCTTCCTTGGAACTGATGTATATCAGTCCTTCTGAAACAACGTGGCAAAACGACGTAATGATATTATCCTGTCCCTCCTTCTCGTAGATTAGCCGAAAATTTCTCCACCCGAATTGCCTAATCAGCCGGTGAATGAAATATGTCAAAGAGTGAACATTGTCACCGACTCGTGTAAGGGTCGGGTACATGCCTGTTCGTTTTTGCTTAAACTCCATGGCAAAAGCCCCGGCGCTGATTACAGGGGTGTCCCAAAATTTCGCCTGCCGGGCAACAGGAGCGGCGGCAAAGTCACAGGCCGGCCCCAGAAAGACATCGGCCTCCCCTCTCAGGTGCAATTCAAAGGCCTGGTGCATCCCCTCAGCTATGTCGCACAGGGAATCCCCGTGATAGACTACCATGTTTATTTTCCCCAGGTAGGCACTGGATGCATTGACGGCTATGGCCAGGGCCTGGGAGACTCGCTGCCTAGAAAACAATCTAGCAGATTGAGCGGGAAGAATCGCCGCAACGTTCACCGTACCTTGCAGCTTCCTACCAAAGTGGTCCATATGGTGACTTTTGTCAGAGATCACAACGGTGACATCCAAAATGATAAAGAAAACAGAGAAAACTGAAAAAGTCATAATTTAATCGCTTCTTGTTCTGTAACCAGTGCTGGTAAAAATAGACATTTCATCACTAAGTACGCCAATCCAGTTGTCACCCAAAAGTGTGTACCGTCTTAGGTATTTCCATTGTCAAATGAGCTTTGCTCGTCTACAGGTGTAGTAGGTGCTCAAACTGGAATATTGTATTGCTGAATCTCCACTGTCAGACGACGGCTATGACGTCCAATTAACATCTCTTATTGTGATACGCGTATTCTGCAGTTGACCAAGCAAATCCCTTTTTGAATTGAAATAAAACAACACGCAACAAGGACGGCCGTTTTTTATATATTAATATAATGTGCCAGTTACACGTCCTTGTCTGATCCCAATTGCGGTTCAAAGTGTATTGCTCGCTGGTTAAGTATTAAGGACTGCTTTGCAGTCATTAGGTTTCGACTGTGTTGTCTGTTTGACAGATGATGTCCATTATAAGTTCCGGGTATGCCAGTGCGCTATGAAAAGGCTTCCTTACAAAACAACTCCCTGCATAAACAACGTTAAGAAGCGAAAAAGACAGGACTCAAATGATTGACGTATGTTAAGATACTTCATAGTATATTACAACTTCATGGGGTTAGCTGAGGCTGAGAGAAACTAAAGTACCAATGGAAGATACCACATGCTGTACCTAATTTTGTCCTGAAGAATTTCCTCGCTAATCTCCGCCATGTTGCATTATTTGCAGAACAACAGCGTTAAGTATCCTCGATTACCGCACACCTCAAACCACGACAGATACAGGTATATTGTCGCATTTTCCAGTGTGTACAGCTACAGGTACATGCATCGGGTTTAAAGTATATGGGCGGCATAAATCAATCGATTTTTTCTATTGTCTATCTTCAGACCATTAAAATTTGAAGATGTGCGTTTCAGAAATTGCTCCGCCGTAGCAAGTTGACTGACACAAACACACACACACACACACACACACACACACACAAAGAGAGAGAGAGAGAGTGAGTTTTTGTTTATTAGTGATTCAACATGTGGTTACTTCGCCAATCATTTTCTGTAATATTAATTTGCTATTATAACGAAGCCACGGTCCCCATCGCGTGTACATGTGGTGATGGTGACAGGGTCAGTAACCGCAACGGAGAACCCACTTAATTGTGTACTGCTGTTTGACAGTTAATCGGTAACAGAGACATTACATTTTCGTGACATATTATCATATTTCCATTTCTTGTCTAATCTCCCTCTTTCTCTCAATTGTCATATCTTTTTCCAACAATTCACTACCCCGATTATTTGCAGACACCATAGACATGTTATGTATATTTGGAGGAGTTTTCCCTTCTCCAAAAGATACCTTTATTAATAGAAGCGTTATGGTGTATATTTTACATAATCGTTTTAATTCATGTAGGTATTGTACAAATTATTTCCTAAATATGGACTTTCTTGCGGATGCACTAATAAACATACACATTCCCATCTGAGGGGATTCAACAACGTATTTAAAATCTTTGAACGCAAACAGAAACCTAACAACTCGTGATAAAACAGATCTGTACATGGATCCTTTTGATGAAAGGTGCTGGAGAGAAAACAATTAAGGTCAGACAAAGAGCGATCTATCACACCTGGAAACTTCAATGCTCCGTTGGCTGTTTTTTTTAAATCTCTTTCGTGCAAAATTAATGTTATCGTTATACATGTGTACTGGTAAAGATGTTGTGCGAAATAACGAGGTATGACAACTGAAGTACGAATTGCGAACTACTGGTACCTCATCACTATATGCTCACTTTTGATTCCCTATACGTGCTAACGGCGTATAAGAAAGCACCAAGTAGTGAATTTAGTCCCCGCTTTTTTTGTCTAAATAGTTTTTTTTTTTTTTTTTTTTTTTTGTAATATCTTAAGAGAATATTTCAGAGGGAAGCTATCTACGGAGGCCACGTGGTCCGATAGCAAGCACAGATTCCAGAATAACAATAACCGCCGTTTTTTGGTGGTAAAATTTAATTTATTACATTTCTATGAGTTGTTTACAATGTATTTATTGTGAAATATGGGTCTCATGCGAAGATTTGTTAACCCTTTAAGATTTGCAGATTTATTATTTATTACCCGTATTTCTTTGTTTGTAAGATCTCTCTAAGGTTCTTTTGACCAATCCTCAGGTCACTACATCCCTTAGTGTGTTCTGCACTAGCGAGCTAGGATTTTGAGTTAACATTTTGGATTTTGGAAAGGATGGAAATGTCTTGGTTCCTTTGGCTTGGCAAAGAAAAATTATTTAAGAAATTTGACTGCAATACAGGGTGACAAAATAAAATACAAAAAAAACAGAACCTATAAAATTTTATTTAATCCTACAAAGGTCCATCAAATTTCAAGAAATCTGCTGGACTTAAACCCCAACATGTGTATGATCATTAGTTTCAGTTTCAATGTTTCAGTTATCTTGGTTGCATTGCATAAAAGCTATGTTCTTTTTTAAAATATGGTCCAAATTGCTTTCGAGGCATTGGTAATACACTTGCATACATCGCCAAAAAATTGTCAATTCCATTCTGCACAATGCATTATTTGGCTAAAATCCAAAACATTGGTAAGTATATGTTTCAACAGCAACCATTCCATGCAGAGGGAAAACACAGTAAGTTTCACACACACAATGTAGATATCATACACATATAGCACATGTGGCAATGTAGGTATAGCCACGATATGCGTTCGGAAAATAAAACTTATAAGGCTCTCCAACAACAAGATTTCTGCGTTTGCAAACTTGCCGTCTGCTGCTGTTGACGCGCGTAAGACTGAACCCCTGCCAGATAGTCTTCGTCTGAAATTTTCTATCCCGTGACCTAAGCTGTCTATGTAATGTATTCTAGACGCGCTGTTGATGCTACTGGTTGTTGATATCTTCCTGGCTATCACACAATGTCGTCCGCAGGTGTTCTGAATAGGTAATACCATAATGTGGCATTTATCCGACATGTATACCAACAGGTTCAAACTCGACGGCTGCCATCTTCTGTATAACGTAAAAGCAATTCCCTGTTAAGCGTTACGCATATCAAAACGTCAAATAAGTGTGTCCTGTAGAACATGAAAAAAATAATTTTTTCATGAATACAGATCTTGCTCTTTAAAATGCACTACATATCCATGTAGTCTGTATAAAATGAAAGAAAGCAAGCAAAACCTTCATTTTAATTTTTTTAAGGAAATAGCACGTGTTGTTGTCAATGATTTATAAAATAAAGATTCAAATCTCCTAAGTTCGGGTGGAAGAGGGCCATACATTTATGTGATGTATTAGTTACCAGTACGTTATATTAGTCCAATCAGAGGGGCTCTAGCCCCAACTCTTCACGCTATCTGTACAAAACCTTATTAAAATAGCAACAAGTACACGATTACAGAGCATACGTGCACAATTACCTGATCTATTAGAAATAACCATCTGGGCATATAAGCAAAACTGGATGAGCAGCCTTATTAAGTTACGACGCATCAATGGTATATATTGACTAGCGTGTAGAGGGAATCTGTTCAATGATTCACAATAGCTGCTGACATTTGTAACCACAAGCTGCCACGAAGCACTCTCCACAATTGATTTAAAGAGGAAACGAAATATCTAAAGTAGCCCTGGAGTCAGTTCAGTATTTTGACAGATTTTGCGGCGCTTCCATTAGCACATTCCCTTGTAGAAAATTTCATTGTCGCCTTCGCCAGTGATAAACTGTGTTTTGCGTTACCACCGGGAAGAGATGTTTGTGAATGTTAAAACAGATATAAACTTTGATACATGTACGATTTGTCAGAGACGTCTAATTCTAAGTGTCACATATTAACCATGTTTTTTCCTGTTACAAAACTGAACACTGTTTCATTAAATTGGACTATTACATATTTATCCTATAGATCACTGGTATTTGATCTCGTGGTCTAAAAATCTAGACACGATTTTGGGCTACAGCTGTTTTGTGGAAAAGTTGCCTGACAGTGATGGTGACTTTACTAAAGTAAACAATAAGAAAAATCAAGAACTTGACACGACATACTAATGATGTACATAAGTAATATACACTGTAAAAACAGTGTTTAGCTCTGAGACACATTTCTAAGCGCCTGTTTTGTCTCATTTTTTCCACGCATTTAGCACCTAAGCACGTTTAGCCTATTAACATGTTACACGCTTTGACGTGCTTGAAGCCTAATAAATGTAGGGTGTATTTGTTTAACTTTAAGGTTGTGACGTTTTCAACTGTTTCAGTCACTCTCTCACACACACACACACACGCGCGCGCGAAGTCAAGGTCACCTTTAACTGCTATAGTTATCTCTGTCTATAACAGGGTACCTTGAACTGTCAACATAGTTGATTTACACCATCATCTTTACAGCGGGACTTATTCATCCTTGTGTTAGCTGACCTTGCGAGGAAGTTAATTGGAATATATTTCTGAAAAACAAGTTAGGAAAATTCACTAGTTTACTAAAGACACGAAACAACTAACACTTTTACTTTAAAACATTTTTTTCATATTTTGATAAAATGCGTTAAGGTATTGATGTTCATTTATTTTTTCCGGAAGTAATGAACAATAGAACATCAGAATGATGGTGGGGTATTCATTATAATGGTTTATTTAAGCTTTCATCACATGCTGGTTATTTTGGTAACGATAGTCCGAATATTTTTCAAGTCGCACCGCTCTAGTCGCCGACTTACCCAAGCCCATTTTGGAATTAACCGCTAACTGTAGTTCATACAGCATAAGACGTGTTTTGGTGATTAATAAAAAAAGTTTTCAAAACATTAAATAATGTTTTTCCAGAATGTTATAAAACGCTTATAAAACTGCAAGGGCATCATTTTGCATGGAGTTAAAAACACCCATAACGTTACCATGACGTTATTCTATACCATCACCATCATGTAACCAGCTGATAAAGTCGTGAAAACGTTATTCGTTATTTGGATTATTACTTA